ATTAAAACTACAGCCCGCACTCCGCTGTTCTCGTTACGGCGCGATTAACAAGTCGCTTCCGTGTTTTCATAACGGTCACTGAAATGTTTGTCTACTCTTAATCGCGAATAATAGGGCGGTGGCGAATGAGCCGGATGTTAGTCATAATTTGCCTGGCATAAATTATTTGCCTGAAATACTATTTACTGAAGAGAATTCTCTCGGCGGAGATTTATCTCGATATTTCGAACAAATATCGCGCTCGCGCAACGTCTGTTGCAACTGACACGTGCAGTAAGAAGCAACTCCTTTGATCACTTGTAAATGTCATACTTTGCAACTGCTTTTGCAGTAAAACAAAAACAATATATAATCGACATTTTAATGTATAAAAATGGATGTATAAAAATTTGCCAAAATATTTTATTCGCTTTACTGCACAATTAAAAAATATTTATATATATTATCTAAAATTTATCTCTTAATACATATAATATCAAATTTTAATTAGTTCTGTTAAATTTATATTAAATAATAAAATTGTAATTCAAAAAGCAATACAAGTTAGCGCGTTCTTTCATTTTTCTTCTTTTTATTTCGCAGTGTAAAAGAGTTTCTGCGTTTGTCGTCGTAGTTTTTATTTTATATTGTCGTGTTTTAGGCAACACGTGCACGTTGTACAACGTTACACCGCAGCTGCAGGAATAATGGCTGCATAACGGACTTTTGCTATACATCATCGCGAGGAGAATTGTCAGTTTTTCGAAATCGCGCTCGCGCGGTCCATCATAAACGTTCGCGCCAATAAATCGAGACGCCCGAAACAACCCGGCGTGTAGATTTATGAACTCGTTTTTAACGATCACGCGACATTCGCGCAACGTGCGCACTAGGCGACGGCGTTTCCTTCATTGCAACCGATGAAATACTTATTTGTCAATTCATTCCGAAAAGATTTGTTCAAAAGAGTATGACTCGTTTAAAATTTAATAAAATGTGTTAACTATTGTAACCAATATTAAATATAAGATATTTTTTGTGTGGATAAAATTAAATGATTCTTTCAAGTGGCTAATAATTATCCTTTCAATTTTCTTTTAAGAAACAGCTTAGTTTTTTATATATCAAGAAATAAATAAAACAAAATGCAATGTTGATGACGTCAAATTGAAGACTTTTTCTCATTGGAGTTGCCAGATAAAACAACCGCTCACAAAGTCGCGAAAAACGATCGCGCCCTTGTGCTCAAGGGAATGCAATTTCGCCGTCACGTTCGCCCGCGATTGTTTCGCGAAGGAAACTTCGTGCTCGAAAGAGCGGATAATTGGTCCGTACCATCGGTGGAGGCAGACTGTGCGCGGTCGGAATTTCTCGGGGATTCCCTTCCCAGAGTCGAGCAGATGCTCATGCCAGTTACATAGACGCGATGGGTCCGCTGTAGGGAGAATTTTAATCAAGCGAATCGCGCCTTTCGTGCTTGCCGGATGTTCCATTTATTTACGTGATTTCCGTTGACAAATAGAAACCAAAGTATTTTATTGTTGAACATTTTTATTGGCTACTTCTTTTTGCCATAAAAAAAATCAAAATTTTATACAAACACACACGAAATATTTGATACTACAAATTAAACTTTTACGGATCGATGTATATGTAAAAAACTTAAGTGAAAGAAGAAAAGTAATAATTTTAATTTACTTTACGAAAATATTTGAAAAAAAAACAAGGCGTATTAAAATAACGTAACCAAACGCGTTGATAAGAAACGGTCGGGATGTCATCGATTCTTCCGACCGTGTTCAAATAAATGATATTATTCCGTGCAGGTATTTTGAGCGAAAATCCGATCGCACGTTCGTACAAGCGATGTAATCATCGTGCTAACAATGTAAACGCAAAATATCGTTGAAAGAAGCGCGTTCGATGAAACAGAATTCCGAACTCCGATTAACGCTTGTACCGCGTTCGTAAGTAGCGCGCGTTGATTACGCATACTGTGCGCTAATTATGTACACGCATTTGCGAACACGCGTGTCTACTGACTGCTAAAACTGCGCGTTCGCTTGCATACAACATTTATTACGGGCGTACGCCAATTTTGCACGTGTCCTAAATAAAGTGACGTTAAACTGAGCAGATTTGCGTCGCTCGCTGATGGAATAAAACGTAATATCTCGTAGTGTTATGGTAGAGAATTTTAAATAACGTTAAATGAATTATTTACATACACGCACGAAAATTTTATTTATTTGTAATCCATTTGACAGTACTCAAAGTTCTTTCCATGCTTTAAAAAAGTTTTTAAATAGATTTTTTTTTCATTCTTATGCGTTTTTGTGCTGCAATTTTCGCGTTGTCTTCGATTTCGCTAAGCGAACGAATCGAAGCGTCACTCGAAAAGTCTTCTTGGCGTCGACGACGACGTGATAAAGATAGTCAAGAAAACCGTCGTCGCAATCATGAAAAAGAACGTGGACGTGTCACGACGTGAAACGACGACAGTGCAGACGAGGGATGAAACGAGAGATGAAAGAGAGTCGTGGCGCGAGACGCTGAAAAGTCGGTGAGATTGGATGCAGCTGTATATTAACCTCTCAGTGGGAAGTTTGCGATGAGGTCGGATAACCACGACTTATATTTATTTGTCTCTGCGCAACGTAGAAGAGATTGCTTGAGATATCCATTAGATAATGCTGAAATTCAATTTGTAGACAGAGCACCGGATTTTGCACGGATTACAACGGTATTACATAATTGTTCTCGCTAAATACATCAGGATGCAAAGATTAATAAAAACATTTGTAAAATAAAAAAAATAATAAATGCATCTTATGCTAATCACACGACGTAAAACCATAAGAAAATAAAAAACGTAAATAAAGTTAAAAATAAATCTTATTAATTTAATTATAAGATTTGAATCTGCGGTATTTGTTTATGCAGTGCGTTGTTGCAATTAGAAACTTCCGGGCGGCCTTGCGCGAAGATTTTGATATCCCGAGAGTTATGAGGAAAGCGCCAGAGAATGCATATACTGGGTGGTTGTTGCACTCGCGCATCGCCAGAGGTAACACTTCGCGCGAAATTTCATGCCGGAAATCCGTGCGGCGTTAACAACGGAAACGCACAGTTTAAGCCGCGCCGTGGCGGGCGTAAAAGCGTGCAGTATCGCATTTGGGATTGTCTCCGGCTGACCGAGTACGCTTCTTCGTGATCGAACGACAACGATTCAGTTATTCGAGTAACGGCAACCATATCAGCCTGCTTTTCCGTAAAATCCTCATTGGTTTAACCTCGACCTGATATGTCGCTGAAGAAATATTTGCGGTTCCGTCAGCATGTTATTACCAAACATTTTCAGAAAATTAACTTTGTTGCATCCAAACATGTCTTTATATTGCCACTTTTTTTGGGCAACAAAATGTTAGTAACAAAGCATAGTTTAAAACATTATCTACAATATTTATGCGTATATAATATAATTGATCACAAAAGAAAATTGTGTTATTTATTCTTACTTTTTTTTGTTTTTCACCTTTTTTACACTTGTCAATTGCACTAGTACAACATCTTGTTTTTATATCCAAACAGAGCGACGCTGATGTCACAGTTGAAGAGGATGTTCCGGAGTGTGGTGCACGCAAAATTTCCGCACGGATATCATTCCACCGCAGCTTTCTGCAGCGCGGATTTGTGGATCGCGACAAATCCGTTATTTTCTCTGGGCCGTCTCAGCCTCCGTATATCATTTTGTCGTGAGCAAAAATCCCCGAGCTTTATAAAATAACCCGATGCGGCACGCGCACGACGCGAATTTATGCCGCGATAAATAAACTCTTGCGCGCGAGACTGCGATAGAGTCTTTCTTTTTGTACGAAACACTCTAATCGGGCTGTATACAGCGCCACGCGCTCTTATCGTTGCGTTACGAAGAGAGAGAGGGAGAGAGAGAGAGTCTGTTGGTTGCTGAAAAATGGTTTCAGAGAAAAGTGCGCGATGCACGTGCAATTTGTAACCATGCGCGGATTGAAACTGGTGTAAAGAGATATTTCTCAGACAAGTTTCGTATCTCTTTCAGTCCTTCGATATTTACTTTTTATCTTTCAGATAGATATTATCTCTAATAGACGGTCTTATCGACGTTATTGTCATCTTTTTGTAGAATCGTTTTCTGAAAAAGCACTTTTTACGCTATTTGTACGTAAATCTACGAGTATGAAGCAATTTAATAACAAAAATATTGTAGCACGTTTACGCGTTTATGTAATCGACGACAGATCACAATCAGACCAATTTTAAATAGAATGCCGTTGCACTGTGTATATGTCACAATAGTCGGTATTTCGTTTCCGGAACGTGCAAAATCAATTTCCGGCGCATAAATAAGATCACCACCGTCTACTGGTGAACTTTGTTGTAAAACGAATGCGTATATATGCGTGCGGTTTTAACGCTGTGCGGCAGATCTTTAACCATATAATGCGGAGTAACTTGAAACATTGACATGGTAAACGATAATTGATTATCTTGTAAGAAAGAGAAACAAACAAAGACGTAATCAACTATAAAACAAAATACAAAATAAATAAAAAACATTTTTCAATAAAACAAGTCACTTGCTCAATCCTATAATAGAATTACTTAGTAAAAGCAACATTAAAACAACGTTAAATTTTTTAATAAAAACTGATATTTTGATTCTAATTGTAAGTAAAAAAGAACATAAGTGCATAACAAGAACATAATTATACATTTGATACATTGAATTTTGTACTCAATTAAGGACTAAGTGAATAAAGAAACAATGAATTGTAAAATGTTCGAGCTTGCGGCAAATACTGATTTATTCATTGTTCATTCGCCGGCACTGCCCAGACCTGCGCGCGCGCACGCGAATACTCGTTTCTCCGTATATTTCGATAAAATTGATATTGCGCCGTGGTTCATTTCTACGCTCGCACGCCACTGTTACGTATATGTAATGAAATTTCCGCTTATCGAACAACGATCCCGTCGTCAAACGCAGGCACCATTGTCCCTCACCGACGTGCTAAAATTATCCGATTATGGCAATATTAAAATGTCGGTCGGCTTGATATAGTAACAATTAAATTGTTAATCTCAAGTTATGGGAGCGTGCAAGAGAAAAGCCATTAGCGTGGCCGTTGACGTGCCGTTCTATGCTTGGCAAATGTGGACTCTACTAACCATGATCGGCTTTGCTATAAGTTTGGCATTGTTTTATTATATTTATATATATAAATCATGTACGTAAATCTTGATTATGTAAAATTATTCTATAGAAATCGCTTATAATGATAATTTATATGTAAAGATTAAGTTACATTGACATTTTTTATTAAAATTCTTATGACTTTAGTCGCGTTATAAATAAGTAGAAATTGAGATCAGTTTTTTGAAATACACAATGACCACAGTAATTACATTGAACTCCGTAGAAGCCTTCGAGCTGACGGCACCGCGCAATTAAATCTACTCAAACTTACGAAGAAGTGCGGAACGACTAAGTAAATCAGAATACTTAAACGAGCAATTACCATAATGAAGAAGTTATTCAAGGAAATCTTTAACTTCACGTTAACGTAAGCAGTAAGTAAACTGTCGCCAACATTGCATCTTCCACTCGGACTTTTACAGATTCTTAAAACAAAATTAATACAAAACATAAAAAACACGTGATATAGCATAAAGAATACTATTAAATAACGTAGTTTAATGATAAAATTAAGTAATGGCACTATTAATTCTAATTTTTCATCTTTGAACGTAGAAAAAGAACACATTAAAAAGATAATAAAGACATACGTTGTTTTGTAATGAGAAAATTTGCTGGAAACAGGGATCGTTCTTTAGTAAACTAGCAAGCGGTAGAGCGCGTAAAGTAAATCTGAGCTTCGAATGCAGACGCAGCACCGGTTGACATAACTGCCGTGTAAACGGAACTTCAATTTACGTTGGGATTAAACATTAACCGCTTAAGGCGGTAGGAAATCTTATGCTTTCATACTGTGCACCTCCCCGCCGCGCCATTTCTCCGTGGCTTAAGACTGTCTCGAAGTCCGTTTCGTGTATTTCGATTTCTGCGGATTTATACGGATGTACAAGAACATGTATAAATCCGGATTATGCCTGCAATAATCTTTATTATACTCAACAGAAAAGCCTGTTAAAAATACATTTATCTAAAACTCAATATAGAAAATAAGCATGTGTGTACACGTATCGATTAATGTTAGAGCGATATTAATCGTTGCTGATGAAAATACAATAAATGCATTTATGATATTCTATGTACACTTGTATTATTAATTAACGTAACACTGCATATATTAATGAGATTATATTATGCTGCGTGATAAAAAAAAAAATATTAATGAGACATTATTTTTACAATTGTTTACAAAATTTGTTTTTACTTAAATACGCGTGAAGAATAAAACTGCAAAAATAATCAAAGATACATGACATTTAATTTATGATGTTATTAATTGAAAACATGACGAGAATTTTCGTGTGTAATTTATGCTTTTATGAAATTTAAATAGTCGTATGCAACTGTTACGTGTGTAATGGGCAATTTAATTTAATTTGCTTGATTACAGTCGGTTTAATTAATATTCGCTTGTCAACAACAATCTTCTTTTATGCCTTTTCTGTATTCGTGATTATACGTCCAAAATTTAATTACGTCAGGTTCGACGACCTCGGCATCCCCGAAGAGTGCGTTGCTTTTCTCTAATTTGGTTTTTATTCATTCCAATATCTTTGCCGGTCAGAAATTTATTATGTGCAACCACTGGATGATGGCAACCACGCATTTGATTATTCTGGACGCGCATATATTTGCAGAAGAGCTGCGATTTACGGTGGCGCTTCCGACGCGGTCGGAAACGGACGGCCATGCCGGAGAACGCGCCGCTAGGCGATGTTGCACAGTGTGGAACGGAGACGTGAAGTTTCCGACAAAAATGAATTATTCGACTGCCGACTATCTTTCGCGGCCAACAGGCGAAATAGATACACACGTGAAAGAAAAGAAGAATCGGCGAAAGAGCAGACAAGATGAAGAACCGGAAGAAACTGTGCTTTCACATGTAACTTTTTGCGAGAATTTATACTACATCAATTCTCGATGTTGCTAATTTTATGCTTGACTTAAAAAAAATTTTTTTCTTTCTTTCTGAACAACGCTCATCATTTATGTGATTCCATAGCGTCGTTCAAAGAAAAAAAGCATCTTTTCGACCACATGCCAATATGCTCTAAAATATGTTTCAAAATAAAAGAAATCGGTGAAAGAGTTTTAGAAGTTTTGCTATTTTGAAAAAATATAAGTAATTCCCCTTTTGTTTGTTTTTTTCGTAATGTGTTACAAGTGACAAGTATGTATACTATTAAGTAAATGACACAACAAAGTAGTATGTAATTTTAACAACTATATATAATAAAAGTTTTTAAATTACATGATTTAAATTACATTACAAAAGTTATTAAAAGGTATTAAAAAAAAAAACAGAAATGACAAACAGGACTTTCGTAAATCATTGGTCAACATTACAAATATTTATACATTTCTTTCTTATTATCTATTGTTGGAAAATTTTACAAAAACACTGCTTATATATTTATGTCGATAACTGTAGTTATCTACTTTACAGTATTCTCTGTAATTATCTTGCAGATATATTTTTCAGATATGCATATCCTCTGTGGGTAACATATGTATAATCTTATTAACTGTCAATACTACAGCATATTTTATCAACTACTAAAGACATGATACTAGTAGTCGATATCATAGAACGCGTGTGATAATGGATATTTATAAAAAATATACATAAATCTTTTTATAAGAAAATTATTTAATATTATTCATGAATAAAAAATAAAGCATAATTTATCTTGAAAAAAATCTTGATCTTATATGTGAACTAGATTATGTGTATAAAAGTAGAGTAAAATTGGTTTATGTATGCAATCAAACTTTATTAAAGTAAATTCTTTGAAATTGGACGTAATCAATATTTTGATACTTCTTTTCTATATTTCTACTCTGGTAACAGTTCAGAGCATTGAAACATATCAGGTCGCATTTATAGTCGAATTTTATATTTAAGATCGTCTTATAAGTTTATCTTCAAATGCTTTGTAATTAATTAAACGATCTTTACAGCGTCTTCAGATGCACTTAAGACGGTCTTAAATATAAGATTGAACTATGATTATCGGCCATTAAATTATATTCTTTCTGCGCGTGTTCGATTGTGTGGCGAGTACATACATACATACGTACATACAATAAGATGAGAAAAGAACCAAGTATAAACTAACTATAAACTTTATACTGAAAAGGATTGTTGTGCACTTTCGCGATTATTTTACGTCAGCGCGCGCGCGCGTTTACTTTAGTGAAGTTCAATTATAACAAGCTTATCATGATTATCCTAAATAAAAGAGTTATTTCTGAACTGCTTAATTTTGTGTAATACAAACAAAATACTAACAACGTAGGTTTGTTTATTTACTAAGCAGTCACACCATTTAATTAAACAATACTGAAAGATATATTGTTGCTTTATAATGTTTTCTGTGATATTTTTTCAATCTTTTCTTTCTTTTTTAAATCTTTATTCTTTTTCAATTTAAAGCGCTGCAAAATACCGTTTTATGAAAAATTAACATCTTATACAACTCTATAAAAATCATAAAGCTAGATAAGAGTTAGTTGACAAAATATTCGATGTTTTTTTAATTTTCAACTTTTTTCGCCGATATCGTCAAAATTCGGAAAACGGAATTAAGGTGCAGAACAAAGCGTGACTTGCAGAGACAACCGGAGAACATTTTGATGAATGACAGGAAGTCGAAGAGAACCGAAGAGGAAATTCTATTCAGCGATTAATTGTTACGCCATTACAGCTTGAGCCATCAAGCGGCCTCTCGCGGCTCTCAATAAGTTAAATTGAGTGTGAATAATATTCGGAGCTGGCAAGTCCTTCCTTCGTCGAGGATTCGCGCCTTAATGTCTCTTTCCTTCGTTTAAAATGCCGCATCCTCTAACACGCGGATATCTCAGAATGTCTGCTTTCTTCCTGAGCAAGGCGATCTTTAATTGATCGTTAAAAGAACCTTTACTCAATTCACCGACAACTGTTTCGTGAATAAAGCCGATTTCTCTCAACTTCCTCGTTTAGTTTTACGCTTTATTAGAAGCAACCAAATAAGTTTCACGCACAAATTACTTCGACTTGTAGTTCTGTAGCAATAATTTCTGTAAGATTTACAAACTACGAATACCTAAATACATTAAGAAAATGCAATAAAATATAAAAATGGAAAACGTTTTCTTTCTTACGAACTAAATGTTATAGCAGCTGTTATCTTGTTTGGATTAATGCGCAATCTCCAGCGCATTCGCAAAAATAACGACGTTACGCTGGTGGATTTTTAATGCACCGACATACCGAGAATTCCGTATTCACTCCGAGCACACTCACTTTAATTAATTGTTGAAAGAGGATTTTAAATTACTCGCGTGATAAATATTTCAAGAATGAAAATAGCTTCTCTCGCGACTCCGATTCTCACGTAAGAAAGTTATTCAAATTATTCTCTCTCTCTCCCTCTCTCCCTCTCTCCCTTCCTTTCTCTCTCTCTCTCTTTCTCTCTTTTTTGTATAAGATTAATAAATCTAATTAATTAATAATACTATTTAATAAAGATGCGTTTTTGTCCTGCGTTTGAGAATTGAACAAATTTACAAAATAAATGATGTTGCCTTATAATATTTATATAATTCGTTCTCTGACATAATTGGCATCGTTTAATGAAGGCCGTAAACGATGATCTTATTTTAATCGCAAGAGTGAAGCAGGCAGATGATAACAGTCCTTTCGATGAGAGTAATTAAGAAAATTGCGTCACTTTCTCAACATTTCAAACGCGCAACCGTCTTAAAGGATGGCGTTCTCTATGTTTCTATTTATTCGTCAAAAATGAATCTCTATTTCACTTCTTGAACTTGCTAATTAGGTGATTGTTATCCCTCGCTTGAACGCTGCGTTGAATACAGTTACCTATTTGCTAATTTCTTTACGTTACGTTGGAGAGCTTTCTCAATAAGAAATATTGTGTATCAAATAATTAATTACACAGATATAAAGTATTCTTCAGTAAATTGTCATTTACATCTTTAAGAGAAACCAAAAGAAATAAAAAGAAATAGAAAAAAAAGAAGTAAACGCATCAAAATCAATAATGTAAGATAACAATTTCTAACACATTCGAGTTAATCTGCAGTATGAGATTTCATCTTGGATTCCGAAACAGCAAGCTTCCCACATTAATTAATTACTCTTCGTTCTAATCGAACTTCGTTGTTTAGTGAACCACTATTTCCAACATCGTTCACGATTTCAGTGATACGTTTTATTGTATTTCTCTCACTCTCTATCTATTTACGTATGTAGAAGCGAGGAGAATAGAAACGGATTATCTCACTGCGTGAACGCGCGTTCAAATATTCATCGAGATATTTCCAGCTATTTGGGACTATTCGAGAAATCATACGTTTGATATTGTCTTACGATAAATTTGTGAATCGAGAAATCAAAAAATCGATGAAATTCGGTAATGTAAAAGAATCTGTAAAATCAACACGACCTCTTTACTGAGCTGGCATTTGTTGGGGACAAACTTGTGGAATCGAGAATTTATACTGCCAATAACATAATGTTAGAAATTCGCGCTCCAGCACGGTCAATTTAAATGTCCGGATTTATTACGTTACTTAGTATTGCTACGAGCCGGACTATTTTCTCGAGATTTCCATTCTTTTATCCGAGTCACCTTTTGCCTCGAGACGGATATTATTCTTATATTCTCACGGTTTCAATGTTACTCCTGGGGAGCCATCTCTCGCGCGAGATGTGCACGCTGTATGCAAACCTATGTATTATTTCAGTATTCCATACTGCGCAATATTGTGTCAAAAACGAGTGAATCTTTAATATGGTTCGTCGTAAATCTCGCATTCCGTTTCGTCTACATCTCACATTCCACCGGCCGTTTACACGCTATGCGTTATTTACGTTTGAACATTGCAATATGTTTTGCTCTTTCGATATTTTCCTTAACAATGTTTTTACGGAAACTTTTATAATCAACGATATCAAGTAACATTCCACAATTTTATGCATCTTCTACATATTTTAAGCAAAATTGTTGATTAACT